GAACCCGCGGGCTCAGGCAGTCCACTCACCTCAGCCTCCCAAAGGTGCGGGATTACAGGTTGAGCCACCGAGCCCGGCTAGGAAGGGATTTTTAAGAGCAACAGGCAGGTGGGCTCACTCCTATAATCCTAACACTATGGGAGGTCAAGGCAGGCAGATTGCATAAACCCAGGAGTCGGAGACCAGCCTGGGCAACATAGCGAAACCTCATTGCTACAAAATAAAATAAAATAAACAAAATAAAGTAAAATGAAAATAAATAATAAAAATAAAAACCAGGTATCATGGCGCATGCTGTAGTCCTAACTACTTGGGATGCTGAGGTGGAAGGATTGCCCAAGCCCCAGGAAATCGAGACTGCTGTGAGCCGTAATCGTCATGAGCATGCCACTGCACTCTAATCTGGGCAACAGAGTGAGATTTAAAAAAAAAAAAAAAGGAATAATAGGCAGCCAAGGACAATGTGGAAGTGTGCCTCCAGTGAGGCCAGCAACTCAGGAGTCAAGACTCCTCCTGAAGGCTGGGCACAGTAGCTTATACCTATAATTCTAGCATTTTGGGAGGCTGAGGAGGGAGGATCACTTGAGGCTAGGAGTTCAAGACCAGCCTGGGCAGCATAATGAGACCCCCTCATCTTTATCTTTAAAAAAAAAAAACTCTTCCTGGAACCTTGGAGCTTATCTTCATCTCTCCTGATCCCACTTCAGAGAGGATGGGCTGTGACCAATGTGACTTGCTACAGCACATAGCTCACAAAATAAAGTTGACTGACCCACCTGCCAATTCCATCTTGGCCCCCACCACTTGACTCCACCCTGCAGCCCTGCCTGGGGGTTCCCACTCCCCAGATACCACCATGCATTCCCACCTTCAAGCCATTGCTCATGCTGTTCTCCCTACCTGGAATGCCCTTCCCTGTGGTTACACATTTTCAAATCTTGCCCTTTCTTTGAGGCCCGGCTCCAATTCTACCTCTTTCCTTCGTGTATGCCCCTCCTCCACTCCTGCTGAATCTGAGGGTGATCTCTCCCCTCAGACTCACACAGGTGTTGTCTGTGCTTTCACAGTCTTCATCATGTTATTTCTTGGGTTACTCTTTCATCTACGCTGGAGTGTAGTAGTACAATCATGGTTCGCCACAGCCTTGACCTCCTGAGCTCAGGCAATCCTTCCACCTCAGCTTTCCTAGTAGGTGGGACTACAGGCATGTGCCACTACACCCAGCTAATTTGGGGATTTTTTGTAGAGACACGGTCTTGCTATATTGCTCAGGTTGGTCTCAAACTCCTGGGCTCAAGTGATCCTCCTGCCTTGGCCTCCGAAAGCTTTGGGATTACGGGCATGAGCCACCACGCCTGGCAGGATTACTCTTTTTATGTAAGCGTCTTGTCTCTCACACCGATCCATCTTCATTTTTCTATCTCCTTTCGTACCTTGTCCATGGCAGGGCAGAGAGTCGGTACTCAGTAATGATTTGTTGAATGAATACATGAATGAATGAGCCAGATGGAAGAGCCATCATAGGACAGGAAACCAAGTGGGTGGAAAAATGTTCCCTCTGCCAAGCTTCTGCCTGGAGATGCGGAAGAACTGTCCTCAGGCGCCCCGTTTAGATGGTTGGC